TAAACCAGATGGTCATTTGCTAGGTCAAAAGAAGAAATTGCCCTTTCTCAGTCAAAACCCTAATTCTGACCATTTTGCCCTTTTGATGATTTGATCAAATTTCTTGAGGAATTATGGTCCAAACTTGATCAAATGATACATATGAATCTAAAATATTGATGTGGATAAAAAATTATGAAGTTTGACTGTAAATTGGCCATGGTTGACTTTTTCTCCAATACAGTTGATTTTTAGATCAACTGTCCAATTGACTGGTCAAAAATGTGATTCAAGGCTTGAAACTTGACATGAGTAATCTTAGGGGTCCATGATGATACTTGAAAGTCATATGCAGCATTGATAGTCCAAAAATCCTTGTGCAAACTTAGACCCTAATCTTGGGTCATCAGTGCAAGATGAGATGTCTTGAGTTGATCAAGCCCTAATCCAGTCTTGAGTCAAAGAGATCTTGTGGGGAAAATCTTGATAAATGAGAGAGAAAATTTTGGGGTACAACAAAGAGCTTACCTTGTGAATGGGCCATGTAAAATTTAATTAACTGAATATGAACCCATTGATATTGGGGGAAGGGGTCATTCTTTTCAATATAGTTGGCATGAAAAGTATGATTGGTTGGAATAGTGTAAAAAATATGTTGTTTCTTGTTTGCATTGTTATGTGTGCTACAAAGGTACTAGTAATTCTGCATTTGTGGTGACTGGTTTTAAAGGTTGGAATCTAAAGCATAAGTTGAATAAACATGTTGGTGAGAAACCAAATAGTCATCATAAAAAGTGTGTGAAAACATGCGAGGGTCTTAGGAAATAAAAGAAGAGTATTGAATTTTCGTATGCAAATATAGTTCAAAAGAAGAAGTAAATTATCTTGTTCATTTAAAAGCATCACTTGAGGCTGTCAAATATCTTGTTAGAGGCGGATTGGCATTTTGGGCACGAAATGAGGGTGAAAATTTTGTTTATAAGGGTCATTTTCTAGAGTTTGTCGAAGCCTTGGGAGAAATAGTGAGAAAATAGTTGCAGCAATAACAAGTGGTGGGGGAAATTGTAAGATGACTTCTCCTATTATTCAAAAAGAACTTTCAAATACATGTGTGGTTGAAACTATTAAGAAGATAGTCGGAGAAATTGGATATGGTTTCTTTTGTGTTCTTGTTGATGAATCTAGTGATTACTCTGGTAAATAACAAATGGTTGTTGTAGTGAGGTTTGTGGATGTTGGAGGGTTTGTTGTAGAAAGATTTATTCGCATTGTTCATGTTGAGGTAAGTGAAATAATGCTTAAAGGGGCTCTTGAATGTTTTTTGTCAGGGTTTGGGTTGTACATATCTAAAATTCAAGGTCAAGGGTATGATGGAGAAATTAATATGCGTGGTCAATTTGGAGGTTTGAAGACTTTGATTCAAAAGCAAAATCTGCATGCCTATTATGTCCATTTTTTTTAAATCAAGATTTATCCATTGCAAGAGCAGGTGATACACATTGGGGATCTCACTTTCGAACTCTTAGTAGGTTGGTTGATTTGTTTACTCCTATTATTGAAGTGTTTGAAGATTTGAAAAGTGGTAGTCATTCTAAGGGTGAACCAAAAAGTTTGTTACTTGTTATGAAAACTTTTGGTTTTGTGTTTATGTTGACTTAATGATTGAGATTTTATCTTTGACAAATAATTTGTCACAATCATTGCAAAAGGTGGATCAAGATATTATGCATGCCATGAAACTTGTCCAAATATGCAAGAAAAAGTTGCAAGAATTCAGAGATGGTGGATGTGAAACACTTTATGAGCAAGTTGTGGCTTCTTGTGGTAATGTTGAAATTGATGTGCCTGACATGGAGTCTCGATATATGAAAGATAAGAAATCCAAACGACTTGCTCATTTTGTTATAAATTTTCATTATTTCAATAATGATTGCTTCTTACATGTCATAGATGTGGTATTGAAAAAGCTGAATGATTAGTTTACACCTGAAAATACTGAGTTGATCAATTTTATTGCTTGCTTGAGTCCTTGTTATTCATTTTAAGCATTTGACATTAAATCACTCGTGAGATTGTACCAAAATGACTTTGAGGATCTTACAGATAAGGAATTGTCTAGTGAGTTAGAGACTTATATTGAGAGTGTCAAGATGGACGATCATTTTTCCAAATTGACTGGCATCTCAGAATTTTGTAGGACTCTTGTTTGTACAAAGAAGCATAAGACATTTAGATTTGTGTACACACTTCTCAAACTAGCTTTGTCCTTACCGGTGGCCACTACAAGTGTTGAGCGAGTATTCTCGGGGATGAAATATGTTAAGAATGAGTTGAGAAGTAGAATGGCTAATCCATGGCTAAATGATTGCTTAGTGACATTTATGGAGAAAGATGTGTTTAATACAATCAATGATATATATATATATATATATATATATATATATATATATATATATATATATATATATATATATATATATATATATATATATATATATATATATATATATATATATATATATATATATATATATATATATATATATATATATATATATATATATATATATATATCATCAAGCGTTTCCAACAAATGAACAAGAGAAGAATGCATTTACGATCAGATTAAAATGTTTTCTATTTTTGAGTTGTAATTGAAATACTAATACATTTTTCTTAAGTAATATTATCATATTTCTTGTCATTAATTTTTTCTTACATTCTTTGTATATTTTATTCATTATAGAAATCTTCTGAATTTTGATCTTGACTCCGCCACTGCCTTCATGTTTATAATTATGTGTTTCAAATCTTTACCCTATATTAAATTTTTTTCAATTTTAATTTGAACATGACGATGGTTCCTAAAGTTACCAGGGAGATGAGCTTGAGAATTTCATGCCTATTCCCTATTCTAATTTTTCAATTAAAAGTTACTATTAAAATTTTAGTTGTTTGTTTGAAAATTATTTCTCTTAAATGTATTGCTTAAAAATCAAAAGAGTTTCATTAAAGGATAGAAATAATGGACCATTTGTTTTTTTTATTATCATGTAACTAAAAGTATATGGGAAAAGTGCTTTTGTGGTTGGAGAATAATCACATGCAAAGAAGATGGTTAGAAGAATGTGTTTGGTTGATTGAAGTGTGCAATAAAAAAGGTTGGAAAGCCAGAATAATCTAATATGGTATTATAAAAATGATTCATGAGGTTTGGAGATATAAGAATTGATTTTACCGATTGATCAGAATCTGCAAGCTGGCCGAAAGATGATCTTTGACGGACTGGAAAGTTGAGGAGAAAAGAGGGTTGTACCTGCAAGACACTCCGACGATTAAGTAAGTGTGGGAGCAAAGAGATACAAGCAAAGTATTAGGGTTTCAAAGATGAATACTGAATATCTGGGCCTCACAAGTGTGAGGGTTTATATAATACCCCTGACACGTAGCCATTGGTTCCTATTTTTGGGCCTATATATTCGAGTTTGTGAAAATATGAACTGCCAGGAATCACTCAAACCAGGAAGAGTGCCCGCAACTAGTCGTTGGTCTCGAGGAGAAGGTAGGTTACGGGAAATGATCTGATCGATTCCTGGTTGTCTGGATGACTTGATATCGGGTAGACGAAGAAGTGTCTATCGCACGCTGCCGATCTCGCTGGTCTAGGAGGGCAATTGACCGACAGCGTCCGACGGAGGGCGAGGGACTTCGGACCATGGTCGTACTGGCCGTACTGAAGGTAAAGTATGGACTGGGCCTGCTCTAACCGTTGGGTCAATCCAAAATAGGAATCAAATCTACTTTAGAGAGAACATCAATCATTAGGTTATTGTCAACAACATAATCAATTCTGTGATATATAGATGCTAGGACAAATTGAAGTTAAGAAAACATATGAATAGGTTTCTTATACCTTAAGTTTTTCCTTTGATTTTTATATGGTGATTGGTTGTAGTTGAATCTTGTAAGATTACTTTATACCTTATTTTGATTTTTGAATCTTTAATAAAAATCTTTTTTTGATATAATAAAATAAAACAAAAATAAATAACATATAAATAAATATTATAATATTAAATTAATCTTACTTTTCCTAAAATATTAATTTTTACATAACTACAATACAACATTTTTATTCTATCATCTAACAATATTTTATTCTTTTATCAAATCATCTTTAAATATTTTTCATATATAGTACTAACAAATATGCTCTATGTTCTTTTATAACTGTCACTTTTAAATTTTTTTTACATATTAAAAAAGATAATTACTATTGATATTTAAAATAAATAAATTTTATTTTATTTATAATATTTTTAATCATTTATCACATGTATTTGATTTTTTTCTCTTTTTACAATAAATAATTAAGAGTAATTTTGATAAAAATATAATTAATATATTAAAAAAATAAAAAAATAATTTTAAAAGTGACACTTAAAAAAAATTAAGAGATTATCAAAATGTTCTATTTTAATCTCTCATTGCCACTCCTATGCATGCATGTTTGCCATCCCCGCAATTTTTTCTTTGACACAATTTATAACTTAAAACTTATTAAAACAAGTTATTTAATTTTGTGGACTATATTAAATAGTTTATGATATATTTTAGATAGAACTAGACTTGAATAGTAAAAACACAATCCATTTAAATATGAATAATTTGAACTCGATTTTGAAAAGTTCGAGATCCATATGAGCCAATCTATTAAGACCCAGGTAGGTCATTTTAAAAGCTCTAGTACTAATAAGTACTAGTACCACCTAACATATAGTAGACTAGTACCACTTGCGACAACAAAAGGATACTTCGGTCTTTTCACGACTGAACACAAATCATAGTACAGCTCATTACCCAATATCAAAAACGACAAACAAATGGCATTTTGGTCTTTATGGACCATTCTCTCTCATTTTTCAACAAAACCCATACCTTCCCCACGTTAACTAACCAACCGTACCCATACTAAAAAAAACACAACCAAAACAAAGGCAAAACAAAAAAACACTATGAAGATGAAGATTCAGAAACAAAACACAACAAACCCATTCGAATCCCTCTCAGAAGAACTCATTTTCACAATCCTCGACTTCCTCGAACAACCGAACAACAATAACAACCAAACCAAAAAATCATTCTCCTTAACTTGCAAATACTTCCACGCGCTAGAATCAAAACACCGACGCGCCCTCCGTCCCTTACGCGCCGAACACTTACCTTCAATCCTCGCGCGTTACTCCTCCATCCAAACCATCGACCTCTCACTATGTCCGCGCGTGAGCGACACGTCTCTTGCAATGATCGCCGAAGCCTACAAAGAAACGCTCATTCGGATCGATTTATCGCGGTCGAGATTCTTCACCGGGAGCGGTTTGGTTAGTATTGCGGCGAGTTGTTTGAATTTGGTTGAGCTTGATTTGTCTAACGCGACGGAGTTGAGAGACGCGGCGATGGTTGGTGTTGCACGCGCCGGGAATTTGGAGAGGCTTTGGTTGAATAGGTGTAAGTTGGTTACGGATATGGGGATTGGGTGTGTGGCGGTGGGGTGTAGGAAGTTGAAGTTGATTAGTTTGAAATGGTGTGTTGGTGTTGCTGATTTGGGTGTTGAGTTGATTGCTATTAAGTGTAGAGATCTTCGAAGTTTGGATCTTTCTTATTTGCCTGTAAGTTTTTTTATCATTTCATTGTTATCATTGTTGTTGTTCTTGATGATGATGTTGTTCATGATGATTATGTTGATGTGGAACATGATGAATGATGATGATATTCTAAATTTGGAGGTTGATGTGAGCAAAAAGTGGGGTGTGATTTTTTTTGTAAATTTTATTTGATATATTTTTTTTGTTGTTATTGTTTGTTGATGTATCTGTTTTTCTTTGTGATGGTTGAGATTTTATATTATTGGTTAATCAGTGTTAATGTTATATAATAAGTCATTGTGGTTTTAATTTTCTAAATTTAGAAATTTTCTTTTTTTGAGGTGGAGGTTGATGTGAGGAAATAAGTGGGGTGTGATTAAGCTATGTTTTCTTGTAGGTTCTCTTTCCTAATTGAGATATTAGTTTTTTTTGGGTATGTAGACGAATTAGTAATAATCATCAGAAACCAACACACACAATTGTAAGTGTTGGGGTTCGAATCCAGCTATTGATGTTCTAACACACAACTGTAAGTACGGGGTTCAAATCCTGGTATTGATGTCCAACTTAGCAATATCAGCTTTTTTGCCTGTTGAATTAGTGTTTGTATACTTTCAGGCACCACAATTTCCAAAACCTATAATTTTAGTTTGCTAAATTAGTGATTCACTCTTTGTGAACATGTTACATGTGGTGTGTGTTGGAGATAATCAATTGTTGTTTTCAAGTTAAATATATAGTTGATATTGGTTTCTTGTGATGAGCAGATCACAGAGAAATGCCTATCTTCGATCTTCAAATTGCAACATCTCGAAGATTTGGTCCTCGAAGGATGCTTTGGCGTTGGCGACGACAGTCTCAGCAACGAGGTCTTTAAACAAGGGTGCAATACATTAAAGGTATATGTCGAAAGAAGTTAAACTTGTTGCGCTTTCAAATTCAACGCATGTTATTCGCAACTTTCGATAGCATCAATTGATTAAATGTTCATTTTTCTGCAGAAACTTGATATCTCAGGATGTCATAACATAAGTCATACCGGTCTGTCAAGGCTGACGAGCATTTCTCGATGTGTCGAACAACTTGTATTAGCAGATGGTTCTCCGGTAAATCTTCCGTCTTTATAATAATAATAATTATTATTTTGAATTTAAGGATGAGGAATTCAGTTTAGCTAATTGTTGGTATTTTGATTTTCCAGGTGACTCTTGCTCTTGTTGACAGTTTAAATAAACTTTCTATGTTGCAATCAATCATATTCGACGGTTGCATTGTTACCTCCGACGGATTAAAAGCCATTGGAAATTTGAGCATTTCGCTGAAGGAACTGAGTTTAAGTAAATGTTTGGGAGTGACGGATGAAGCTCTCTCTTTCCTTGTGTCAAAACACAGAGATCTAAGGAAGCTGGATATCACGTGCTGCCGGAAGATAACCGATGTTTCGATAGCTAGCATTACGAATTCTTGCAGAAGTCTCACTTCTCTGAAAATGGAATCGTGCACGCTAGTTTCATCGGAAGTGTATATATTGATTGGACAGAAATGCCATTTTCTCGAGGAGCTTGACCTCACAGACAATGAAATCGATGATGAAGGCCTCGAGTCCATATCTTGTTGTTCGAGGCTCTCCAGCCTGAAACTAGGAATCTGCCTGAACATAACCGATAGAGGAGTTGCCTATGTTGGCATGTGTTGCTCAAAATTAAAGGAACTGGACCTATACAGGTGCACAGGAGTAACAGATTTAGGCATTTCGGCAATTGCGTACGGTTGCCGTGGCCTTGAGATGATAAATACCGCATATTGCACTAACATTACCGATAGGGCATTATTCTGCTTATCAAAATGTCCAAATTTGCAAACACTCGAAATTCGTGGATGTCTTCTCGTTACATCTATAGGTTTGGCATCTATTTCAATGAACTGCAAACAACTAAGCCGTCTCGACATCAAAAAGTGTTACAACATTGACGATAGCGGCATGATTCCGCTAGCTCATTTCTCCCAAAATCTAAGACAGGTATTTATTTTCCTCATATGTCAGTTTTCTGCAAAACATCTTAGATTCTAATGTATGTATCTTTTCTGAAACGCAGATAAACTTGTCGTATAGCTCGGTTACGGATGTGGGGCTTCTGTCGCTTGCCGGTATCAGTTGCCTTCAAAACTTTACTCTGCTTCACCTGCAGGACGTGGCTCCACAAGGAGTTGCGGCGGCCATATTGGCATGCGGAGGACTAACAAAAGCAAAGCTTCATGTTAAACTAAGATCTCTTTTACCTGAAATACTCATCAGACATGTAGAAGCTCGTGGTTGCGTGTTTGAATGGAGAGATAAAGTTTTTCAGGTATATTCAATATTCATCTCTCGTTCTTATCTCGGATTTCACAAACGCCAAATCCCGACATATTTTATTAAAATGCATGTTCTTCCTCATTTTTATGGACAGGCTGAATTGGACCCCAAGTGTTGGAAATTACAGTTAGAAGATGTGATGCAATAGGATTTTGTGTGGTTGGTTGTCTGAAGTTGTTAAAGATGACTTATCCAACCAAGTTTGTGAAGAATCTTACATCTTTGAGATTTTCTCAAGATGTAAATGTAATAAGAATCCATGATATGTTTACTTCTATCTACATACTAGATGAAAGAATCAAGAGACATGAAAAGATGTTAGAAGTATATTGTTTAGTCCATTGATGGAGGTAACCAAGTAATCTTACATAAGTCCGACATCAACTCTGGTGAAAGTTTGTGTCCCGAGAGTATCCTCATCTCAAAATCTCAAATTTGAATCTTGTTAAGTGTTAATAATTTTTGTGTAGGACTCGACTCTCATCTCAAGATCTCAGATTTGAATCCTGCTAAGTGTTAGTCTTTGCGCGAACTAGATAACTAATTCATGAATTAGTGGAAGATGGTTGAGGTAAGGGACAAGGACAAAAAGAAGATAGTTGGCAAATGATGAAGTGGCATTTCCACTAAAAAAGCATTGATAGTTGGCATATCACATGCATGGCTTAGGACATGACACTGTTTTTGTGTCTTTTATTAGTCAACTTATCATTTAAGGATTTTTGTTAACAACAACCAATATAATATGTGGTAGGTTCCTTATATGTATTTGTAGGTACAAGGCCCACTTAGAGTTGTCAAAATAGGAAAACTTAGTTGTGGCCATTACTAAGGTTCTTATTTATGGACTCATTGAATTAGAAAAATCTCCTTCTGATGGTTGATGCTTTTGTACAATAATTATTTGAAAGCCTCACTAACTAACTCATCATAAATAATTATTTCTCAAGCCTCAATAACTTACTATGCGATGTTATATTTGGTTGATACAATCATCTTAGTTGATAGCAACAAATAAAAGTTAAAAGCTATCTAGATAGTTCAAGTTTCTTGTAAAGTTAAAATTATAAATTTAGAATCCTTGAGAGATGTATTGAGAGTTTGTCTATTTTATCTGACTTTTTATATTATTTTTTTGGGCCTAAGTAAAAAGCCCAAGTTTTTAATTTCTTTGGAAAAATTTTATTTATTTATTTTAAAAAATGTTCTATCTCAATCTTGTTAGAAATAATTTTTTAAAAATATATAATTTTCCAAGATAAAAATTATATTTTTTAGGAAATATCGGTTAAAGAAATTAGAGCATTGCGGTCATATTTTGATTTTGCATGCCTTTTTGTCTAAATAAACAAATTAAAAACTCATTTGTATTAAGAATGCTATGTATCTTCAAATAAGTGTGGATTAAGACTAAGTTTTAAGAGGTTAAATAAATTAATATTTTGTTTAAAACTGTTGACTTATAAATATTATTAATTTATTTATATAAATGCATTAAAATTATAAAAGAAAATTAGAAAGTTGTTGCTTATTAGGATTTACCTTTGAAGTTACCTTTTACTTTTAAAAATATACACTTCTATGTATTGATATTTTTTTAATTAATTATTTTATGTAATTCAGGTTTGCATCAATAAAACATATGATAATATAGAAGTATGCCTTAACATATTTAAGTAATAAAGAGAATAAAAATGTATTTTAATATTATCAGAAATCAAAAAGTCTAAAAGCAGAAAATTGCCACAAAAGAAGTCCAGTGGATGAAGGGTCTAATTTAAGCAGTTAGTGGATATTGAATTTACAGATCCGTTAGATAATAAATATTTTTTTATATTAATTTATATAAAAAAGTTTAAGATATTCTAAATCAATATAAAAGATAGACTAAAACACATGTTCAGTTTTTGTAAGTTGGTGAACTTTTTTTTATTTTGTGCCTGTATTTATTCTAATAGTTCTAGAATATTGACAACCTTATGATATTCATCTCTTATGTCAAATTTGTGCTACAAAATCTTGTAAGTGGTAAACGTCCAATGACACAGCAGTAGTGTCGCAACGCGAAAAATAATCGAATGTAATAAATGTTTAAAATACAGCCGAGTCTCTATTGAAATTTATTTATTCAAAAAAAAGAAGAGAAAATATGATAAAATCTTTAAAGAACGATAATATTATTATTGCAATTAAATTAGAGTTTGGGAGTCGGTTAAGCGAGAAGAATCTATTAACATTCCTCACCTTTTCAATGAAATAATATAAACTTAAACCTGGTTGAAGATTGAGGGAGAACGTTTTTAACTTGCACTGTGTTGGAGAGAAAGAGAAATGTTGTGAATAATGAGTGAGGAAGGAAAATACGCATTTGATGGAAAATCGAGATGTTAAAATGTGAAAGAAAATTTTTGTGCCACATGGAGACTTAGCATTTGGTTTGAAAGGATATTAAATGATTGGTTAGATGATGACAAAAATACCTCAAATGCAATGTATGTTTACAAAATAGTAAATGATAAGAATGTTGGATCACTTATAAGGTGAAACATTTACATTAGGCCAAACACTTATTTAAAGGTCAAAGACTCGGATTTACTCAAACAAATGAGAGAGATACTACGTATTCATCAAAAAATTTAAGATAACACATTTGTTTTCCAATCGTCATGGGCAATAGAGGACTCGAAACAAACTCTAATACCACTGTTGAGTCATAATGAGAAGACACTCAAATAAATGAGAGACACCTCATATTCACCAAAAACTTTAAGGTGGTGGGAGTATGAGTTTTCTCACTTATAAAATGTTTAACTTTCACTTTTCTAAATAATATAGGGCTTGAAACTCACATTCGTTTCTCAACACAAGTCACACTAGTTTCTCAACAATAACATTCCCAAGTGTGAGTCCATCCACTATGCCCCATTCAAGCAGAAACTCTAATATTAATTGTTGAGAAAATAACAAAAATAAAATTTCTACAACGCGAAAGCATACCCATAAGAAAAGACAAAGAAACAAAAAAAATTCATAAAATCATAATTGAACTTGTAATTTTTTCACAAGGACAAAATCACAAACCCTCTCATACAATTGCAATATTTGAGGGGAAAATTACAAATCTCCAAACTATAATTTTTGAACGAAAAAATTGTAAACCCTCTCTCAATTATAATTTTCGAATAGAAAAATTACAAATCCTCTCTCAACAGCAATTTTTTAACGAAAAATTGTAAACTCTCTCTCAACTGCAATTTTTTAACAGAAAAATTGCAAATGCTCTCAACAAACTATTTTTAAACGGAAAAATAGAAAACTCTCTGAACAAACTATTTTTGAATAAAAAAATATAAAACTCTCTCTAAACACAAAACTATTCAAATCTCCGATACATCTAAAAGACTATATAAGAAAACTAAAACTAACCACATTTATAAAATTATTACTCGTGACTATTCATTCCTCCCATGATCAAAATCTTACTTTTAATACTAATTCTTGGATTAGTTATGAGGAAAAAACATTCACATTGAATCAAAAACTCACCTAAAAGTTAAAATCTCACTATCATATATATATATATATATATATATATATATATATATATATATATATATATATATATATATATATATATATATATATATATATATATATATATATATATATATATATATATATATATATATGATACGTTATGTTAGTTTTTTATTCAATCATATTTATTCTTTCAATATTTATTAATTTTATTTAATTTTTTTTATTATCTCAATTGTTTCAACTATAAATGATCCTTTTCATTTAATAATATTAATTTTTAATATATTATATACTATATATTATAATTAACATATTTTTATAATTTTATAAAAAAATAATTTATAATTAAAATATTTAAAAATTGATTTAAATTAAATATTATGAAATTAGGATCAGAACAAAATATATTTTTTAATCAATCATCTAAAATTAAATTAAATCACCAATAAATATATCTTTAAGATGTATAAATTTTACATTAAAATGCATCCAAACTACGACCTAACACAATCTTATTTACCATTATTTATAACAATATATAAAAGCAATACTTAATTTTGGTGTAATCTATTTTCCTTTTTGAATTTACCCTTTAAAAGTTAATTATAATTACTAAAGCAGTAATTGCATGCGTAGTTTTTTTTTTTATATTTACTTTATAAAAATAGACAACAATTATATTACACATTTTTATCTTCTTTTTATTTTCCCTCAACTTTTTCTGTATCTTTATTTTTATATTTAATTTTTAGAAATGATTTCCTAAATGACAGCAAAAAGGCCGCCATGTATTACATATCATTTTGTCATTTTGTGTTTAAGAGGATAAAAATAAATTTAAAATTGATCATATTTGATCAGAATGGATTATCAAATGCGCGAAATTCGAGTCGAACAACAGTTGAATGTGAAGTTGGAGAGATACTTGTAAGACACTCCGATGTCAAAGTGAAATTTAGAGTTATGCAAACAAGTGTGAGTAAGAATGAGATTGAATGAATACCTGACCCTCTCAAGTGAGAGGGTATTTATAGCCTCCAGCGCTGGACCAAGGTCTTTAGTGTTGGACCACGATGAGGTGCAACAGCGAAGACTGCCAGGGCTTACGTGTGTATGGAGTCCAGCACGTGACCTCTTTCCTAGTCAACCGCCCCGAGAAAGTAGGAGTTGGACCCGTCATTCTCGAAGGGCAGGATGATGATGATGATGATATGGACACATAAGCTATGTTCCCTAATGGACACGTGGGGAATTTCCCAACGGTCTACAACTTGGGCTGCATGCCTTTGGGCCTTGGGCAAAGGCGCTGGATTGAGCATATCCAATGGTGGGGCAAGTGCTAGCCCAGTCCAGAACAGGAGCCCCCCAAATTATTGCCCTTAGGTGAAAGAGTGATGACTTAAGTTCAACTTCACTGTCGGAGAAACATCTCCCGAAAGGGGAAATTGCCCACCCTCGTCGGGGATAACTCTTTGACTTGTGTCGAGGATTTCGAAAACACGTGAGCTGCGCGGACAACTAGATCATTTGTTTGTTTTGTGCCCATAAGGAATATATAGGATGTTAGGAGTCTCCCCCGAGTTTTCTTTTTCGATGTTCCCGTCCACA